CTTTTACAATAATTAGTTTAATCTATTATTGAAGATGATACCAAAGCTAGAAGTTCATTTCACACATTAGAAACGTCATTCTACCTTCCTTTTATTCATTCGCTCATTCTTTCTCCTATTTATTGGGCTTCAAGTCATGCAAAGCCTGTCACTGTCCATTTAGCTTGCACATTATTTTTGGGCTTCTGTGTTTTAGCCTTTGAGCTATGTTTAAGTTTAAAAAACTTTTTTCATATATAAATGATAGATTATCACTATTTCTATTAGTTTAAGCTTTTAGAATAATATGAGAAAAGTTATATGCCTGAAAATTTTAAGAGCAAATGTTTGGAGATAAAATATTTATATTATTCATAGCATACTAGATATATGATAATGCAAAAATTATAATTTACTGTAACGGTCCCAAAAATTTAAAAGGAAATTTATATAAAAAATATGAGTGCGGAAGCGAAATAAAAGATTATGATTAATATCCCTTACACAATAATTTAAACGTACTAACAATATCAAAGAATAAGTTCTCTAAAGGAAATACTAGAGATAAAAGACTATAAAGAAAACTATAAGACATCTAGGCCTCTACTCGCCGTCTTTTTGTGGATCGAGCTCGGGAACCAAGTCCTCCTAATATGAAATGGTTAAGTAAGGAATGAGCTATACTAGCTCAGTATGACGTCACACTATATCACTGTCACAGAAGTAAAAGTTGGTAGAAAACCAAAAATAACCAATGGAGCACAAATTTTAAATAAATTCATTTATCAATAATCAAACTATTTACTGTCCACTTACCTCAGTGAGATTTATAAAAATGACCAATGGAAACAATAACATCATAGATATCATGAATTCATACATAATCTGTAACATAGCACATGTCATACTTTTATATTTCAATCATTAAACAACAGTTGCCCCCTTTTCATCAGCCTACTAGTATCCATGGGGATCCATAAGGGTCCCCGCTATACGTGAACCATTTTCTTAACAAACTTAATTTTCAGAGTCGTCCCCATGCCTCGTCCGCTATGGGCGCCAAACAATAAACCTCAATACCCCGTCCGGTATGAGGGTGAAGCGGGCCGTCCCCATACCCCGTCCGGTATGAGACAACATTCCTGGTATAGTTCTCTATGGACCCGGTCCATCCACCATCTCCCAAGATATCTAGTGAGGCTGTCATCTTATCCAATTATCAATTCACACCCATTTCCTATTTTTTTTTCCTTAGTCTCCGTTGCCCATTCAAAGATGAATATGTCAACAAGCAACGTGCATCCAATAAGGCAAGCATATTTTAGATTCACAAAATCAAGCAGTAGTGAAGTAAACAGTGATTCATGATTTCAAAATCATAGAATAAATAAACCAGATACCATAATGCATTTAAATTGTAAAATAAATCAAATGGGAACTGACAGAGAAATATGTCCGATTCGGGCTCCATTAGCAACCGTAATTAATTATACATATCTAATCAATTTGTACAAAATACAGTTTTATCATTTATTTAGACTTCAATCCCATGAGAGGAAATAGGGTAAGGGGTCCTTACCTGATTCGACTTCAAAAACTAGATTTTCACTGCGCCTACGATCAGTCCCTGGGTTCCCTGAATTTTTTCTCAGGAACTAAAACGCGCTTACGGTACCTACACATATCCCAAATAACCCAGAAATCATACCCAGGGCCTACTCGGCCAATTTCAAAATTCCGGCATGGCAGCTCTGCCGTGCTCGGGCGACGATCCGCCTCGAGTTGGCTGTTTTCAGTTGTTTCTGGCCGAATTCAGCCAAACTTGCACCAGTTCCTGCGAGAAAACACACATAAGGCCCTCGTTGGGCCGAAAAAAATACAGAAAACTTGCGGTTGGGTGTTTTGCTTTGGTCAACCTGTAGAGGAGCAAGGATCAAAATGTTGGAAAAATCACGTTGAACGGGAACCGGGAAGGGCCTCATCGGAGCCAAAAATCGAGACAACCCGCGGTGGCGCCGCTGGGCTTCGGCGGTATTTTGCGACCAATTGGCTAGTGTTTTTGCTCCGATTTGGCCATAGGTGGGTTTAGAATCGAATTTTGAGCCAAGGGGAGAATTTTTACCTCGTTTGGCTGCCAAAAATTGCTCCGATGCGGCGGCGGGTGGCGACGGTCGGCTACCCGGCGGCGGGTGGCGACGGTCGGCTACCCGGCGACTGAGCTGTCTTCTCCGACGAGGGGCTCTGGCGGCTAGGGTTAGAGTTTGGGTGCATATGAGATTATTTATAACCATCCGCCTTTAATCTGAGCCGTCCATAGCAATTCAATCAGGGTCGTCCGATCGCGATTAAATAGAAAATAAATCTGGACCGTTCATCGCGATGCAATATGGGCCGTCCGTGCGGGATTCAATCTGGGCTGTCTGTGCACGTGCAATCTGGGCCGTCCGTGTGCGTTTTTTATTTGTGTCGTCCGTGCGCACGGGAACGGATCTCAGCCGTTCGATCGTGCGCACGCAGATCGCCCACGTGGCTCCCTTCCGCGTGGCCTCCCGCATCAGCATCTCTGCCACGCGACGCGTCCTGGTTGGCCGAAGCTGCTGACCTGACAGCTGACATGTAACGACCTCGGAAATTAAAAAGAAACGTATATATAAAAATTCTAAGTGCGGAAGCGAAATAAAATATTATAATTAACATCCTTTACACAATAACCAAAATGTATTAAACGTATGAAAGAATAAGCTAACTAAAGTAAATACTAGAAATGAATACTATAAGGAAAACTATAAAATCTTTAGGCATCTACTCGCCGTTTTCGTGCGAAACGGGCTCGGGAATCAAGTCCTCCTGATCTGAAATGGTTAAGTAAGGAATGAGCTACACTAACCCAGTAAAGATGTCACACTATCTCACTGTCATAGAAGTAAAAGTTGGTAGAAAACAAAAACGACTAATGGAGCATAATTTATAACAAATTCATTTATCAATAATAAAACCCTTAACTTTTCACTTATTTCGGTGAGATTCATGAAAACTAACTTATGAAAATAATAACATTATAATATCATGGAATCGTACGCACTTTGTAACATAATACATATCATACTTTTAATATTTCAATCATCAGGCAACAAATATCCTCTTTTACCAACCTACCAGTATCCATGGGGATCCATAAGGGTTCCCGTCACACGTGAACCATTCATATTAACAACTTAATTCCAGGGTCGTCTCCATACCCGGTCCGGTATGGGCACCAAAATAATAAACGTCAATACCCCGTCCGGTATGAGGGTGAAGCGAGCCGTCCTCATACCCCGTCCAGTATGAGCACCAAAACATTTAAAGTCTCCATACCCCGTCCAATATGAGAGACAATGTTTCCGGTAGGGTTCCCTATGGACCCGGTCCGTCCACCATCTCCCAGGATGTCTATTGAGGCTGTTAACCTATCCATTTATCAACTCAATCTCATTCCTATTTGTTCTTAGTCTCAATTACCCAATCAAACATGAATACGTAAACCAGTAACGAACACCAAATAAGGCAAACATAACATCGGATCCACAATAATTAAACCATAATAAATTAAACAGTGAATCATGCATACGAAGCCATAGAATAAACAAATCAAATACTACACTGTATTTAGACTGTAAAATAAATCAAACAGGAACTGACTGAAAAATATATCAGATTCGGGCTCCATTAGCAACCTTAATTAATTATATATATCCATGAATTCATAAAATAAATTTTTATCATTTATTATACTTTAATATCGTGATAGGAAATAGGGTGAGTGATCCTTACTTGATTTGAAGTCTAAAATTAATTTTTCACTGTGCCTACGAGCAGTCCCTAGATTCCCTGAATTTTTTCTCTAAGAACTGAAACACACTTCTGGTACCTGCATATGTCCCCAAAAAACTCCAAATCAGACCCAGGGCCTCCTCGACCAATTTCAAAATTCTGACACGGCGGCTCTACCGTGCTCCAGTGACGGTGCCGCCACTTACAGCGGCGATCTGCCTCGGGTTGGCCGTTTCTGGCCGTTTTCGGCTGAATTCGGCCAAACTTGCATTGGTTCCTGTGATAAAACACCCTTAGGGCCCTCGGTGGGCCAAAAAAATCCAAAAAATTGAGACTTACCAACGGCGGAGTTTTCGGATG